TTAGCTGTGCCCTATCCCTCGGCTTCTCTCCTTCTCTTCTCATCATTTTAAAACAAAAAAATAAAACTCAAACTTAGCAACTGCCAAGGGCTAAGCTTATCTTTTTCTCTCGGCACAGTTGGGCATGCCAAACCCTCGGCACGCCTTCATGCCCTCGGCCTGCCCAGATCTCCTCCCACCTGCCTCCTACCCCTTCGGCTGATATGTCAAAGGCTTAGCCAAGGAAAGTCCCTACGCCTCTCACTTCCCTCTCAACTCCACCATAAGTTGAATCCTCTGCCATTCGATCTCAAAACTACCTATCTTCGGCTAGACCATAGCTAATTCTCATATTTTAACTAAGTAAAATTACCCCTCTTAAATATACCCAGCACAAATTCCCAATTATGCCCAGCTATTTTCGAATATCCAGGCCAAAAATTCAACGTTCAATACTCAAAATTCAAAAAAGCCTTAGCTAAAATTAAAGCAGAAATTCAAAAATAAAATTCAAATTCAAAAAGTCTCACGTACAAAAACACCTATGCATGCTTTCGAATCTATTAAAATAAATCAAATGTGAAAAATTTTCACATACCTCTTGAGATCTTGATGAACTTGGAAGAGCTTGGGTATTGTGACTTGAACACTCAAACTCTCAAGAACTTGGGAGAAAGTTGAAGAGGATTTTTTTAGAATTTCTCCAAGGCAAATGAAAGAGTGAGAAGCAAATGAAGTGAGGTGGAAGTTCATATGTTTAAATCTAAGGAGATTGAAACTCCTCAAAACCCTAGCTCAAATGGGCCTAAGTGATGCTTAAGCCAAAAAATCACCATTGAAGGATTAAGATTAATTACAAGCTTAATTACATTGACTATTATCAATCTATTTCTAAAATCCCAAGTTTAGTCGAAAATCAAGACATGTCATGCCTTCGGAAAAATACATGAAGCTCAACCTAAAGGAAAATATTCTGAAAGGGGAAAAGCCCTCAGTATCTATAATCCGTCATCAAGCTTAGCTCTCAAAACCGCTAAGTCATCTCAATTAAAGTACTTTCAATGCATTGCTTGGGTTAGTTTTCACCCTTGCAAGTTGCTTGGGGCTCGTTTTTAGCTCTCGGGTACGCCTCAAAATCCGCTCCGGCTTATGTGACAACCTCTCTCATCCTCATTCCGCGTGATATCCGAAATTCATGTGATCTCATTCCCACATCACGCGTGGGGCTAAATGTTTGGGCCAAGTCCATTGTCCTAAGCCCATTGATCTAGAATTACAAAATTACCCCTCCATGACCAAACCCATCATTAGTCAGAGCAAAGTACGGATTTACCCTTATTCTGTGCAACTAAGTGAAACTTCTTCCACCTGAAAGTACATCTATAAATGCTCCCCAGTCATTAATAATGGTATCTTTTTCCTAATTCTCTAACCTTCTCTCTTTACTTTCTCTCTCTAAAGTACTCTCTCTCTCTACTTTCTCTCTCTAGAAAGTGCATTCACTAACTTAAGCATCGGAGGGGCCTTCCCGGGTCACACCCCCGGGGCAGTTAACATTCTCTCTTTTGCAGGCCTAGCTCTCGGACAGCAAGGCGGAGTGGAAGGACGTTTGGACATTCATTGGACTTAGCCTTGAGACATTTTGATATTATTACCCTAACACCGAGGAGTATTCTGTTTCCAGAAACAATTGATGTATATAATTCTATGATATGATCTAATTTAATTGTCTTGTTATTATTGTTGTATTGATTGATTGTGTTATTTTTCTAGGGTTTTAATGTTATTGCTATATGGAGTATTGTTCTTGAGGTTTTAGGATTATTAATGTAGAGTATTTTTTTGGGTTGTGAGTTTATTATATTTGGTTATTAGTTCAATTGCGCTATAAGAGTTGAGATATACTATGATTGAATCGAGTTTGAAGCGTTATATTGTTTGGGAACATGTCCCATTATTGAATTATTATTATTAGTTTGTGAATGGTTATTTGATCAATGTATGAGATCAAAAGGTTGAGCATATTATTGTGTTCTTGGTTTGAGGCTCGACGTTATATACCTTACTCCTTGGCATGTTGGTAAGAGGATGATAATTATGAGTTAAAAATGAGGTACAATCTTTATTAATATTTTTCAATGGTCCCCTACAGTGTGATTGGCCCGTATGTGGTCTGGTTCAAGGTGTAAATGGTTATTGAGAGTATTCAAGTTTTTATACTTGTTGGTTTGTTATTCGAATTACTCATGTCCAAGGCTAGGTATAAAACAAAGAGCGTGGCACACTTATTGGTTAGATGAGTTAATTGAGAAGAGTATCATATTATTAATTTTGAGGTGGGATTTTATCAAGGTTAGTTATGCGGAGTGTCGTATTTAGTTTGATATTTTGGTGAATGTAGTTTCGAACTTCATTGTCAGTGAGCTAATTATATTATTAAATATTATATTACTTCATTGTAAATTTGATAAGTGGTGATTACTGAGCTTTTTGCTGACGTGTGTATTGTTTTGTTGTGCTATTTGTGTTTGCGGCCATGTCTTTTTCTTATGGTGGTTCTGCGACGGTCTATTTGGAATTTGTCCTTATGGTGAGCAGTCAAGATTTTCTAAGCATGTTGATCAAGTGGTGGTAGCTTAAGGAACTCAAGTGTTTTGATTAGTATGGTGTCATAAAGTTGTATAAATAGCTCACCTAGTTAATTGGATTGTAATTATTGGGATTTTGTAAGCCTTAACACTTGACAGGTTGTTAAGTGTGTCAGTGATACCTCCGATTAAGGTGTATGCTTCCGCAATTTTATTTGAAGTTATCTATTTTTCCTTTATTTATTGTTTATTATTAGTTAGTAAATCGAGGGTGTTACATAAATACTAGTAGAAGGCTAATAGACCACCTTGCAAGAGAAGTTGCATTACATTCAATTCGCTTTAATTAACAATACTATGTAATTTTTTTTAAGGAAATTTTAGATTTTAACACCTTATAAAAACCTGAAAAAGGTTTTTTAACACCCTCATATAAATAAATTAAAAAAAATAAAAAAAATATATTTTAACACCACACAAATTTCAAAAAATTGGATATTACCACCACTTAAGTGATTTCGTTAAAAAAAATCCGTTAAGTGGGGCCATATAGACACGTGTCGCTTTATTATTGGCCAAAAAATTAAAACCTAAAACTACCCCAGCCCCACACCACTGCGCCACCACCGCTGTTCCCCAACCCACCCCTTGCCAGGCGTCCCAGAGAATCGCCTGACGTCGGCGACCCCACCCCCACCTACGCACCCCAACCCTTCCCTTTCCCCATTTTAGTTTCCCGACCACCACCCCGAAACCACCCTAAACGGGTTTTAGGGTTTTGTTTGGGGTGGTAGGGAATCGATTAAGGGAGGGGGAAAGGAGAGGGAGGGCGTTTCCGGGGGAGGGAAGCGTTTAGAGAGTGGTTTCGGGTAAGGGTCGGGAAACGAAAGTGAGGAAAGGGAGGGGGGTGGGGAAGGTCACCAGTCTGCGACGCCGGACGCCGACAGGGGGTGGGTTGAGTGACGGCAGTGGTAGTGCAGCAATGGGGCTAGGGTTAGTTTTAGGTTTTTTATTTTTTAAAACAAATAAATTAGTGACACTTGTCACTGTGGACCACACTTAACGGAATTTTGTGACGGAATCCGTTAAGTTGGTAATACCCATTTTTTGGAAATTTGTGTGGTGTTAAAATAATATATTTTTTTAGGTTTTTTTAGAAAATAACACCATATATTTTGCAAAAAAAATGGATTATAACACCAACAAAAAAAAAAAAATACTTTGATTATAACACCACAAAAAAACAAAAAAAATGGATTTCACCACCAACTAACGATGTTTTGGATGGAAACCGTTAGTAGGGCCCTCAAATGACACATGTCAATACTCTATTGGCTTAAAATAAAAAAATTAATAAAAAAAACAAAAAAAAACCGTTAAACTCTAACCCAACCAAGCCCCACCAGCGGCACAACCTATCCTAGCCGCCGACAACACAAACCCAGCCGCCGACACCCCTAGCCCCCACAAAAACTGGCGAATCAACCCCTTCCTTCTCCCCGAAAACCAACCCAGCCCTCACAACCACCTCTCGCACCGCATCAACCCACCAAAGCAAAGCATCCCTCGTAACTACCTCGCGCACTGTATCGACCCACACTACCACCTCGCTCACTGCACCGGCCCACACAACCACCTTGCGCACCGGACCACACCTCCTAGCAACCTCGCGCACTCAAGAAAGCAATATGGGTTCAATTATCAACAATTATAGTTTTAGGGTTGGTCGATTTTGATTATTTAGGGGTGGAGATGGTTGATGTGGTGGTTTTCGGGGAGTGGAAAAGAGGTAGGATCGGTTTGTGAATTAGGAGAAAGGGAGGGGTTGCTGGGGTGGTTCTACCGGTGACACATGGGGTCTCTGCGGCGGCGGTGGAAGTTCGGTTGCCGGGGGTGGAGGATAGGGTTGCCGGCGGTACGGAGGAGGAATATGGTTGGGTTAGGGTAAAAGTTTTTTTTAACCAATATAGCATTGCCACGTGTCGAAAGTAAGCCCCACTAACGAATTCCATCCAAGAATTCGTTAAATGGTGGTGAAATCAAAGTTTTGTGTTTTTATGTGGTGTTATAATAAAAATTAGAGATTTTGTGGTGGTCTAAGTTTTGAGAAATTTGTGGTGTTATTTTCTAAATTTTCCATTTTTTTATGGAGGTGTTAAAACCATTTTTCAGGTTTTTGTGAGGTGTTAAAATCTAAAATATCCTTGTTTTAAATAATTTTTTTTAGCCCTAAGTAAATTTTAAAAATCAAATCACGAGAGAAGCTGCAATACATTTTTTTTTAACAGACAATACTATGTGATTTGTTTTAACCCTTCAATAAAAATAATAAAATAAAATAAAATAAAACCTATTATATATCTTTACAAATTGAAATTATTTTTTACTAAAATTATTTTTATTAAATGTTGCAAAGTATAGTACCAAAGATTCAAATTTCTAAGCAACTCATTTGGATTAATTGGAGTGAGAAAAACACGAAACAAAGTGAGGAAGTACTTGATTCTTACTAATGGTTAAAGAAAGATCGCTGGACAACAAATATATATGTAAGAGCACAAAGCTAATCAAACCTAAAAAAACTTTATTCTTGAACATGCAACGCAAAGGAAGAGTTACACGGGCAAATGCCCGTATCAACGCCATGCACAGCACCTTCTGAAATAAAAATACTGCCTCAACCCATCAGCTGCTGAACCCCTGAGATTAATAGTTTCTTCTAAAGGGTGGAATGCTAATTTCGCTGAAACTGCAGCAGAGCTATGTACTGTCACAGCCCACAACCAAATGATCCTGCAATTAAATTTGCCACATTGTAACAAGAATAGAGTTGATAAAATATCAGCTATCATAGCATACATTGTTATTTAAATCTATTTGACAGCAAAACATTCCTATATGAGGAGCTGGAAATTGGTTCTCTGGTTCTTTACCCTGGTTTAAATTTTTACAATTGACTAAAAGATCACATCACACAGCTACCAAACAAGACGCCACCAACTTTTTTGTTTTGTTATTCGAATGAAGGTCAAAAGATAATTGATACAACTATCAAACCGGCATGAGACTATCCCATTCACCCTGCTCTTTGGAAAACAGCATTGCCCCCTTCAATCTTAGAAATTTAGCAATGTGATGGTTGATATTCAACAAAGCTGAATAAGCATCAGTAAACAAAACCTTACAGTTATCCTTCTTGTTTGTTCTAGATGTAATAGAATTAATTTTATCAGTTTTCATTCACATTAAATCTGCACTGGAAACAGTGTACAGCTAAAAGATCTTCACAATTATACGATTAATGCTTCATTGCTACATACACACCTAAGGTATTGCCCCTTAGGTGAGGTCTAATTAGAGGTATTGGATAGTAGTTCTGTACCACAAAGTATTTTAGAAGTTTAGTAATGCCAAAAATTTGCAGCTTATTGCAATGAAATGAAGACTGGAGTAAGGTGTAGGGTGCCTTGCATTTTTGCAAACACAGGTATAGATACAATAACTAAATCTCACAGATAGTCCAGTCATAGTGTACATCACAAGATAACATACCTCATTATTTCACATAACCCAAGGAACCATTTTCTATGTTAACATCCAAGTTCCAGCCTCTGAACACATAGCAACCATTATATAGAAAATTTAGACACAGGTAACCCTTAGAATTTGTAAAAAATGACAAAAATTGCAGTCACTCAATACACTACCTCTCAGCAGCTTCTTTCCTTAATTCTTCAAGATGACTTTCAATTTTCACACAAGCTTCTTGAATTTCAATGTTTTTCAAACAAAGCTCCCTCCATTGTGCAGATAAAACATTTAGCTCATTGCCAGCATTTTGCTGATAAATTATAACATTAGTTAGATTACAACTTTTCACCAAACAAACTGACAAAATTCAAATTTACAAGTACTTAAAAAAGAAAAGCAAAATAATCAAAACCAAGTCACCTGTTGAAACTTTCTTTCCCTGTTCACAGTTTCAATCTTCTCACCGTGCTCAGCAGCTAATGCTTGCAATCTATGTCACTCAAAAGGCAAATCCATTAAACACACATAAAATTGGATGGAAAAAAAGCTTCAAAAGTAGTTGAGTCAGATCAATACACCACCACAGCAAAGGTCAAAAATTACACCTCATGGCACTCTACAGAGGCAAAGAGTAATTCTATTATATTCTAGGAATCTAAGGTCATTTAAGAAATAAATTACTTATGAACACCGACAGGATAAGCATTGCCTGATTCTACCCATTCTCCAAATGAAAAGAAAGTTATGAATTGTTTACACATGAACCAATACAAAGGAATAATTTTGGACTATCTAACAAAATTCGGCATTTATTGTTAAATGCCTAGAAGACAAAATTATACGTTAAAGTAAGAGTTTTGAAGTAACAAGATCTTAAATCTACCATAATCATATTATGGACAAGGAATAATATACTACGTAGAAAAATAATAAATTCATAGTAAATTTATGTCTCTACATACATAAGTCATTGCTTCTTTCATATTTCACTGCCAATAGAGATTACTCCCTCCGTCCCATAATACTTGGGACGTTGGGATGGACACGTAGTTTAAGAAAATTACAAATGGCTCCGTTTAAAACATTTGTTTATTATATAAAGGATACTCTTTTATATTTTTATATGGTAAGGAAAAAAAAAAAAGTGGGAAGGTTGGGTAGTTAGGCCTTAGGAGAGAGAAAATATAGGATTTAATTGGGTTTTGGGATTTGTGGTCCCACAAAAAGTAGAAAAATACCCCGTATTTTTTTTATTAGGAGTCACGATCAATAATATCAGAATTGGATAAATCGGTCCAGACCGACTTACTAACGGGATGCCTCTATATTTAGTAACGTGTGAAGTATTTTGGGACGGATGAAAATAGTAACTCTGTTAAGTATTATTATTATGGGACAAAGGGAGCATTATTAAAATATGTATTTGTTTCAATCAAAGCATAGTATTTCTTTTTCTTGTAATTTAAGGTCTAAATAAGAAGAGATAAAAGACGGGCAACATCCATCAACAAGTAAAACTGAGTTTAGACTCTTTCAAAAGGCCATTAAGCATTGTGTTCAACATACAAAAACATAAAAAATCAAGCAATGAGAAACACATCCTCAATAGCAAACCATCCACTTAAGCTCCCATCATTACATTACATGTAGAACAAGCCAAACTGAACCAACATAACAGCCTTTTCAAATCTCTTAGCCCAAATGACAGCCTTTTGTAATACGTAACAAATTCAATGGTTAAAATTTTAAAACATTGGCAGGGAATAGAGGCAGTATCGTTGCTCAGAGGAACATGCACGACAACAGCAAAACAAGAAGCATTTTTGCAACTGTTTAGAGTAAATGAGCCAATATAAATCAAAGGCTATGCAAATAATCAATAAGCATAGAGCCAACACATAACACTAACAAAATTAATGTCATGAACTAAAGGTCAACTAGCATGAATAATGGTGCAGAACTCTTCCAAGTCAACTTAGTCTTTTGAGGTATTATCAAGAACTCATGCCAATTTTATAAGAACTAAGCATCATCTACCAATTATGATGCCTGGACTTGGATAAAAGTTTTCATATCTATTAAATCCAAAACTTATCTACGACATTATCCAAACTAGGGGGTGAAAGTTATTCAGATTTGATCCAAAGTTCAATCCATCCCAAATAAAAATACTAATTCGGATTCATTTAATAACCCATGCTGACTTGCTCCATTGGATTGTCGGAATATGACTAAGGTGAGGGAGGAAAGATCAAAGTGCCGTAGTGGGATGGTTTACTCAACCAACACATCTACAAAAATATGTACAAGCACAGAAAATGATATGGCATCTTCATACACAAAAAATAAAATCATCATACGTACTCTTCAAATAAAAAAAGTAAATCATATTACATGTAAAAGTTCTCAAGAGCACACCAAAACCATGTCAACAAGGTTATTTTTTTTCCCTGGTAATTACCAAACAAACTTTGTGTTCAAGAGAATGTGAAACCCAAGAAATAAACATATCCCGAGGAGCCATTTAAGAGTTAAGGAGCCACTAAAAGCAAATCAGTTTCCTTCCTTGATTTCTTTACAAGCAACATTTCGATTTTTCACATTTGCCAATGCATAACATCAAAATTATAAAATTAGATTTTAATGAAATTAAGACGAATCTAACAAGATCCCATATGACAGTTTTTCTTCAAAGTATAAACCAAAATACTTCCTCCGTACTTTTAAAACGCAATGTTGGAGATTTTGCGCTATTCACATAACCTCCTTTAATTGTCTTTTGTAATTTATTTGTTAGAAAAATTATACTCATGTGGGATGATCTTGTTAGATTCATTTGGATACACACTTTCAGAATATTTAATTTTTATAATTTTTAATAAAGTACAATTAAAGATATTAATGGTATAAAAAGTGCATTGGCAAGAGTGTAGACCCTAATGTTAAAATTTAAAAGGGTATGTAAATAGTGTACACTATTAAAACACTGCAAATAAAATATAAAAAATAACAAAGTATATTATTATAAATTTAAACATTAATGTTCCAAGAGTTCTTCTTTCCAAAGTTCTCCAAAATGAGTAACATATGTTTCCATTATGATGTTTACATATGACCCAAAATCCCTAACTATATAGTACTCCCTCCATCCCTTAATACAGAGCCTCATTTCCTTTTTGGATAAACCAAAATATAATGTCTCTTTCTATTTAAAGGTTGTATTTTTTGACATTATTACCCTCTTTTTGATGAGTTGTCATCTTTATTCCTTTACTTTTTTCGTACTTTTAACATCAATTTCCAACACTTTCTCTCCCATTCTTTTCAATTATTCCCAACTACTTTTAGTCTCTCTCTCTCTCTCTCTAACTCCAGATGCACATATGTACTTTTAATCATTAGTTTTACAGAATTTACAACTTTCTTAATTCCCGCACAAAAACCAAACGAGGCGTTGTATTAAGGGATGGAGGGAGTATCATATAATCCGCTAATCTATCAGCCACAGAGCCGAAATCAATTCTGCATCAGATATTTGATCTGAAAAAGTTGGACATTGATATTATTTTAGATAATAATTATCTGATTTTTGAATTGGATATCACATATTAAACCTGCAATATGAAACTTTGAGTTCATTTGGACCTTTAATAATTATATATACTTAGATATAAAATCAAAATGAAAGAAAACTCACTTTAAGTTCACTGCTCCACCTATTTCCCCAAATTGATCGTCTTCTACCTTCCCCTCTACTCTCCTTCCTATTTGTACGTTTCCTCTCACCGGCCACCACAAATTGGTTACGCTATCCATTTCTGATGTGAGTTTTTTCTTGTTCTCCTCCCTTAGTGGTGTTTTTAATGAGCAATGGTAGATCTAGGCAGATTCCAACGTAACCTAAGTAGTGGTAGATGTGGAACATACCTTATCAATGGGAGAGGTGTTGAAGCGGTGGGGTCAAATGGGGGAGAGGTGTTAAAGCGGTGGGGTTAAATGGGGTAGGGGAGAGGTGCTGAAGCATTGGAGTCAAATGGGGAATTTAATGAGTCTTAATTGTAACTTAAGGGTCATGGAGGGATTACCATAAGACGTGTTGAGTGATGACGGGGCTGTAGTGGTGGCTTTGGATGGTGGTGGGGCTCTTATTTGCCAACAAAGAGTAGCAACCGAGAAGAAAGACATTTTGCTTTGTAACAATTCTATATAAACACGGTGCACAATAAACAAACCATGTAGTATATCATTTGAAAGGTGATTATATCATACGAAATTTGATTATAATATTCTAAAGGTACAAGTATGTCATCCAAAAACTGATTATATTATTCGCAATGTAAATGTATCATTCAAAAAGTGAATGTATCAATAAAATAAGTATCAAACAGTAATTATATCATCGAAAATATGATTATATCATTTAATTAAATCATTTGCAATCTCATACAACTATATCATTCAAAATATGACTCACTAACAACATAATTATATCATCTAAAAAAAGTAATTATATCATCTAAAATGTGATTATTATTTGAAAGTGTCAAAGATCGGGTCTACAATAATTTAGTGTAGATCGGGTCCATACAACACCTTCTACTTGCTACGTGTAGACGCTTAAAAATGTCTCATCGCCAAAACACTCAGGTTTATTATACCTTTCACGCCACGGACAGTAAAGAGAACTTCGAGTATATTACAAATGCATAGGAACACTTAATGAAGGAATTGTGATTAATTAAGAATAACTAGAGTTTAGAAGGTGTACGAAAATGCTCCGATATTTATAACGTGAAGTGATAAAGAAGATAAAGTATTGTTGAGAAAGCCGCATGACGTGCCAAGAGTAGCGGCAATGCACTAGCCGCAAAATACGGTGAAGGGCTAGGACACTCCTGCAGCTACGATTTAGGAGGAGGTGCAGGCTCCTCGTAGAAGGGCATGGGCTCCGCCAACTCGGGAGCTTCACCACATTTCCTACCGTGGTGTCATAATTGACTTGCCAAGGCACGACGATGAGAAATGTAATGGTGAAAACATGACAAGGCTCCTAAGTCGGCGGAGCCCATGTCCTTATTAAACTACGAGGAACCTACTCCTCGTCCTCTTCTTCCGGAATATAAGCTTACATCGTGTTGTGCCGCCGGTGCATCGTGGCGCGTCGCACTGCTTTCCTAATTTTTCTATCTCTTCTTTAGCATTCCACGCTATAACTACAGGTTCCGAACACCATTTTCTAATTCTCGTACACCCTATTCTAAACTTTACACAATCCCAATTAATCACAATTGTTCCTACACATTCGTACTATACTAAAAGCTCTCTTTATGTTCCACGACGTGAAAGGTAAAAACAAGGGGGTTTAAACAAGAGATATTTTTAGGTGTCTACACATTTAAGTTTTTTTGACATTGAGGTTTATTCCTCTATGCCCTTAATAGGTTAGGTTGATTGACAAACTACTACTTCATCGACGATAATAATACAACACTGAAGTTAGACCTTGTTTGTTTACCTCAATTTCATTTAAGACCGGATTAAATTAATTTTTAACAAAACTTTAACACGTTTAAATAATATCTTATAAGATTCATAAGTTCAAATAAGATAAAATAAGTTTTAGAATGCTTTGATAAGTTCTTATCAGGGTTATCAAGGGCTACCTAAGTAAGATTTACAAATAAATTAACTTTCGGTAAAATCAGATAAGTAAGGTAATAGATTGCATCGTTAGATCAAGTACTCATGGAATGATTAGTAAAAAAAAAAAGATTTCATGAAAGCATTGGAATTATTTTATTTAATGTTTATAAATAAATACTTTCAAAACAGCTACATTAGAATTTGATTATGGTCCAAAATTTTAGGCTACTTAAGATCTAACAAGATTAATGGAGATTTAATAGGACATTGGATATTGGATATCAGTCTATTAGAAATACTTTTTATGAGAAATTTTAGATATTCGGGTTTGTATATAATGTTTTCAAATTGGATTAATATCTTATATACTCTTCCTGCCCTTGAAAAGTTCATTCAATTCATATAATCATGTAGCACATTTGTGGTGGGCCATTCTAGAATTTGTTGTGTGAAAAAGTAAATATGATTAGATATCATTTGTCCATTTTTATTGAGAGAGAAAACATTAGATGTGATTGGGGACAATGGGTATTTTTAAATTGAAATGGGAGAATGTATGATTGTGGTCCCATTTTTATTGTGGAAATTATAGCAAAATTCAATGCTTAAGACTTATGTCGGCCTCAAAAAGAAAACTCCCAATTTTATATCATGTATGCTTGGGGTACCAAGCAATTGTCACACTTTCGATTGTATGTTCTTTTATGTAAAGAAAGGTTACCTCTTCGACAAAAGAAAAACATAGCTAATCAAGTTTTCTTGTTGTTAAAGGTGTTCGTTCATAAAATAATGTATTGCTTTAATAGAGGATTTCTTTTGCTCCTGATTTAGTATAAGAAAAGGATGACAAATTTTTTAACATTCAAGACCCAAGTGATATAGTTTGAGCCAAAAGTGGTTTATAAATCAGTAAATCACATCCTTAGTAAGGTCGGGCATGATTGTAAATTTTTGATACTTAGGTGGATGCACAAAGATTAGCGAGAAGCCGAGAAGGTCAAATCTCACAAAATAAAGAAGTGGTCAAGCAATGGGTGTCAAAGAAAAATCCTAGTTCTAGTTCATAACTTCTCTATTTGCTTCAATTGTCTTTATTTATAAAGTTATAGCCACAACGAAAGCTAAGGTCACATTAAACCTTAAATCTTCTCCATCTTCATAGCACTTAGTACACAACACTAGAAATATACAATACCTAATAACAAATAGAAACATTAAATTAAGGAAATAAATGGCCATTTATGTGACCCTATCATCAGAAAAGTAGGTAATACAAGATGACGTCAAGACAACCAACAGGAATAATTTAGTCTCACCAAGCTTGTAATAAATCCAAACCAAATTGAAAGATAAAGAAACAAGATAATGACATTAATCCAAAAACTCTCCTATCTTTCCCAAGAGGACCTCTTTTATGAAACACCGAAAAATGATAAGTAAATCATAAGGTATGGCTTTAAAAACAATGTTCAATTGAAATTTTTGCTAGTCAAAAGGTCTATATTTCCCACCTAATCCCATGAGATTATAGTATGCATGAAAAGGACGACACAATCCCATAATTAAGTATAGTAATGTAAGTTGCATAGTATTTTACTGTAAATCACCTTTATAGAAAGCTTTCCTCTATATTTATTCACTAAAGTTGGATCCTGAACCACCCACCCACTTTATTTCTCTCCTTAATTCTATAAAAAATTTAAATGTATGCTTAAGTGAAGAATACTTTGGCATTCAACACATACACTTACCAGCACAAGAAAAATGTTTCCCATCTACAATGAATAAAATAAGCACATTATACCATTGTACATAATAGACCACAAATCATGACAACCCCCACCGCAATACCTTGTAATATGTAAATCAAAATGAATTTAACAAAGTATCAGCATTAAAAGGTTTTATAGCTACAACCAATATGGAAAATGGTAGAAAACTCCCACCCACTCTTCCCTATCCCCATCCCACCCCTATAAAGAGAAAAATGGGATAGAATCTAAAAGAGCACTACAGCTGTGTAAGAGAAACTAACCGGTTTAAAGACGCCTCAAGCCGTTGGTTGTAGTGCTTCCAGACATCAGGACAAAACTTAGACATTAGCTCCAAATTTTCAAGCCTAGGGAGAGCATTTGTCATTAAAAAGGAGCTTGTGACAAGAGATAAGAAATAAGCAAGTCTACACAAATTGAAGTTGATTAAATAAGGGCAAAAGGACTTAAATAAGAGAGTACGCCTCTCATAGATACCAAAGGAGGATGTAATTAATGCTGGTGAATTTTGTGACAGCCCTTCAATACAAACCAGCACCCAGACAAGCTATCAATCAGGACATACTAAACTTATTTCCAACAGCAAGTATATTCAATCTACTTGATGTACAGCACATAGTTTTCATATAAAATTGAAATAATACGATATAGATATCACATCACCTTATCTCCTGATGCTGTAGCAAGCGCTGAGCTTTTTGAAGAGCCTGCTTCCAAGCTGTTTCATCATTCTGTTTATTTAACGGTGGAGCATCTGGTATATACCGAGATGTATCAAGTGGCATTGGAGGCTTTCCGGCCCTGACTCGCTCATATTCTCTAGCAAGCATTGGATGATCCTAAGATTTACAAACGGATTTATACACATGAAATTCAACCACATATTGCATGCATAATATTTGGCCCTCATTGTCGTTGATAATATTACAGGCCAACAATGTTGGAGTGAATTTTAAACACATCTGGACTTATTTTGTATCTCTGACCCAAGTACTCCAGCTCTAGACACCGAATTTCTACGTGCAGAGTAGTCTCAACTAATCTCAGACCATGTTCAAAGAGTCATAAGACCCCGAAAATTATCAGCATTCAGCCATCTCCTTATTTATGATCATCTTTTCTATACCTGCTTGACCATTCTTAGTTATAACAACAGTAAAAAGTCACTCTCAACTTCTCAAGCCTTTCCTATATTCATCATCAGCACTACAAATCAACGATAAAGTTCCACACAAAGTATAAAACGTGTTACGAGAAGCAACCAAAAGGTCTAAAATAACCCAAAAAACATAAAACAGAACTAGCACATACAATAATCAAAGTCTTAAGCAAGGGTCTACTTTGTTAATTTTCCTAAATTCACAATAGTTTCACCAGCCTAATCAATTACGGGGTTCTATGAATAGAAAACAGCAATAGAACAGATTAATTTCCCAAAATAGCATCAATTGAAAACAACCCAATTCACAAACATGGTTTAAGCGCATTCCAAAAACCCTAATAGCAAAAAAGTTGGGAAATTTGTAGAGAAAAACCTCAAAATTGAACTTGGGAAGAGGAGGAAGATCCTTGAGAAAATCAGAGGGCTTTTTGGAACTTCGGCGCATCTCTTCCTCGACTAAGCGGTCGACTTCTTGTTTGACGGCAGGGTTACCATAGTCGTCGTCGACGTAAGGCAAGGCATCGATGGTTTCTGCATTGGAAGCACTTGCCCATGGTCGTGCTGCATCGGGTGAAGCTTCGAGCATCAATACGTCGCCATTTGCAGTTTGAGTCGCCATTTTTGTTCCTACTAGATATGTCTCTGCGATGCCTCGATTGGGAACAAATATTAGGAGATTGGCATTTTTGCTATGTAAGTTGTCCGTGTATATTCTGTTCTACTTATTTACAGTACAGTTTAGTTCAGTTTTTAATTTTATTGTCTCATCAAATATTCAGTTCAGTTCTGCTCTAATCAGTTCAGCTCAGTTCAGTAGATTAAGAAAAACGATGTTAACATGGGGTAATTGTCACCACAATCTGAGTTGCACGAAATGTTAAGATTTGCTCTCAGTGGAATGGGGTAGCAAATTTGAAATTGTCTTTTGAAATCACTGAGAACTAGAGATGGAGTTGAAATCAAATGTAGTTAGCATTCGACCGTGAATGAGCAATGACAGAGTTCAACTCCATTGTCGAAATCAATTGAAGATAGTGAGCGGAGAGGGATTCAAAGTTCATTGAAGAAGCGACGATACTTGGTTGCAGGAGATACATACAGATAGTTAAGAAAATCGTTGTTGCAAAAGCGGAGAACCATAGTTTATGTAATCAACTACCACCATTGATTTCATGTCAAATTTGCTAAATTGCGCATTTCAATTCATTTTGAACATGTGTTAGTTGTTTAGAAATGTTTTATTGATCTTATGAATGTTATAAAATTTAGTTATCGGGTTTATTGATAGGGGTTTTGCCAAAATTAGGGGTGCTGCTTTGGGCTAAAAAAACCCATACCAAGTGGCCCAATAAGAGGGTGACACATGTGAACTTAGGTTAGGTCCAAAATGAACCAATCTCTATTCGACACGTGTCCCTCCAAGAATGTTAGGAAAAAGGCGGTCTTTACGGCCCAAATCCCGAGAAATCCGCAATGCGGCGCAGCCCATCAGACTTAGGTTTCCTGTAACCCAGGCAGAAGCACAATTCCCGATGACCCTTAAATACGGAGATTTCCCCCTTTTTAGGGGCACATTCAATTGTTACAGCATACACACATCTCTTACATCAAATAATCTACCTGATCTCGGAATCCGAGAGGATCTCACTTTTCACCTTTTCCGCATTTCTTACTCTCTTCGACCGATACTAACTTGATCGTTAGAGGCGGAGCTCCTACAACCCGGAGTCTCCGTGTTTTGCAGGTACAGGCCGCGCCGGACCAGTCTTGGTGTCGTAACTCTCCTAAGGGACCAGAAAATACCCAAAACATTTGGCGCCGTCTGTGGGGAGAGTACCTCTAAGATGGTTCAAGAGTTTGTACCGCCGCCTGAACCCAACCGGCCTAGAGCCGATGGGGAGGTCTATACAGACCATGATACCGACAACGACTGTGAAGTTAAAACCCATGTGGCCCCTGATGGGTTACTCATCTCTAAGCACATCCGTCCCAGAGATAGACTAGAACGGAGCAACAATGAAGTTGTTCCTAGTAAGTCTACTGGACCATAATTTGGGGAAACCCAGACTGCAAGGGGTCAAGCTCTACTCACTCAAGACGAACTCATGAAATTCATGACAAGTTGCAAGGGTAAAATCAAGGACCTGATCAACAAAAGCACGGCTGGCTCTAGCAAGGGTTAGTCGGCCAAGAAGACTCCTCTAGCTGAGAAGAGAAAGCCAGAGACAGTCAGCCTACTCCACACCCAAAGGAGAAGGCCACACCTACCATTGACTGGTCCAAGATCTTTCTACCTTAGACGGGAAAAAGGAAGGTCTGAAAGATTTATGTCTTCATTAAGTGCAATTACTAGATATATAATGGATCAAATTATGGAGATAATTAAGTTCGTTCTCTTAGGTCGTCATTATTTGTTGCTAGACGTGATCAATGATCTTTGGGCTAGTCAAATAGTCCAAAGCCCAATATAATGGATCCTATAAGGTAACACAAAAGGGTGATGGATTGAACAAAAGAAAGAAGCCCATTATTGGGCCTCATGGAGTGGCCAGCCATATGGGATTGAAGAGGAAATAGTTTGGGCTTGGTTTTGGAATCTAATAATACATATGATGTATAAAAAGAGGCCTTGCCTAAGGTTTGAGAAACACACTTAACCAGTCAATAGAGAATTGACTAGTAAGCAAACAAACCCTAGCCTCACACAATCTCTCTCCTTACTCCCTTCCTCCTATCCGTACAACTATACAGTCCCCTAGTGCAAGGTGTTGCACGATGGTGGTGTGGTGGTGTTCGTGGTAGGTTTCCTCCTCCCCTCTTCGTAGAAGGTGGTTCGAAGTGTTCGTGCCTAACTACCTAGAATTAGTAGAGGTTCAATCCTATCACATGGACTAAGTAGCGGAGCAACGCTTGGAGCTCTATTATGTCCCTAATTGTCAGTCAATCGCTTGTGGAAATCACACGTCAAAGGCATGTATTATGTGATTCTTTATGTGTTATGCTTTTAGATCCTATTTAGGTGCAAACGAGTGTAATTCGTGAAATTCTGCATTAAAGTACCTAAAACCCTACAGTGGTATCAGTTAGCCTCTTGCATTTACGCATATGGATCATAATTCTTTGATGTTCGCAAATTTTAATTCAATTAAGGGAGGAATTTAAATATGATTTCAATAACATAATTAAAATAGTGATTTTAATTGATTGGAATATGTTAAAATGGTGATTTTAATTGCTCAATTTTTCTTAACCCTAGTCGTTTTGTTCCTTGTCATGTAGAACCCTAATTTTCAAAAATTTTGGTTCAATTTGACATATATTTTAATTTTATTAATTCATGTAAAAAATGTCTTATATGTATATTTAAATTTAAATGATTGAGTGCCTTGATTAATTAAAATGTTGCAATGTGATTACAAAATTCAAGATGAGATCTTATTTTGATTTTAATTTTATCAATTAATTGGGCATAAAATCGTTTTATGTTTAATATATCTCTCTAAAACCAATAATTAATTAACACAAAAGTTGTTTTAATTAATTACTCAAAAATAAAAAGGGGGGGTTTTGAGGGAGGGTCACCGTGGCTGGGTGGAATTACCACCACCAGGTGGACGACGGCGGAGGCCCTGCTGGTCGAAGGGAGGCGAGCACCAGGGAGGGTAGCAGAAGGTGACGGCAGCGAAGTGCAAACGTTGCACTGCCGCCGGCTGCAGCCAGCGTTCTGTTGGTGGCTGGGCTTCGGCCTAGCTGCTGTGGCAGCTCTCAGGCGACAACGATGATTACAGACAATGGTGAAGGATGAAATGGCGATCAGAGCCCAGTGAAAGTTGACCAGAAATGTTCGTTCTAGTTAGGCTACTTCCTGGTGGTGCGCCGTGGCTGGGCTTTGTTCCTGGCTGCGGCTGCGACCTTGCGGGAACGACTACTTCGTTTGTTGGGATTATTCCTTGGCTGACGTGGCAGAAGGATTTTATTAAAAAAAAATTAAAAAATTTTTTTATTAAAATTATTTATGTTTTTAATTTTGGATAAAATATGATTTTATCTAAGATAATTGTAAAGTTAAAGATAATTTAAATTATAAGATAATTTCAAATTTTAATATATGTTTTAATCTTTGAAATGTTTAAGGATAATTGAGCAATATTCCAATAATGTTGATTGAATTGATAATGTGATTATCTTCATATTTAGTTAGTAATTGATTTAAAATTGTGATTGGCTAGTAATTAGGATAAAATTTTATAATATTTTTTTTTAGGATAATCTTTAAGGATTAATATAATTTATCTTTTAAGATTAAAATAAGATTTGATTCTATCTCATGCCTAATTTAAAATATATGATATTTTATTGATGGTCATGAATAATATATGATATTATCTAATTGCAGTAATTAAAATATGAGATATTTAGGTGTCGTGTTTCCGTAATTATGAACACTCGATGTTCTAGTTTAAGAAAGCCTAATGATTGATTTATTATGTGGCAATTTTATAATATAGGATATTATGTTGCTATATAATGACTAGTATGGCCCAGTAGATTGCTAAATACGATCTATGCATCGTGATCTATTTTTGTAATCTAAAGTACGGTCTATGTACTAATAAAGTATTTTTGTAATTTTTTTTTTTTTTTAAGTAGTAAATAGAATTACAGGTTGCAATTAATCCAAGAAGCCCATGAAGTGAAGGCCTAAAGGAACGAGGTGGATGAGATCCATAAAGGCTCGAGTGGGAGCATTAACTTTATTAGTTTTCTTAAGATTAGGGGGTCATGCTATGTCTTGTTTATGCATTCAGTATTTTATGCATGTTAGATTTATTGTGTTAATGATGATGCGCTAGAGTTCACTAAATTAATCATAAGATAATAAATCTAAGTTCCGGTAATATTGAGATTGTTTTTCCAATTAGATACCCAACAATCCTTCAATCGTGAGTGATTGGTCGGCCTCAGCAGAGTGTAACTTGTTATCTTGGGTTATTTGGGGTAGATCACGTTCTACGCATTTAGTTGGTTGTGCTCAATGAGGTTACCTAAAGAGTTTAGAACCTTGAAGCAAAGGGTAATAATTAAGCATGGGATGATTAATTATTCAACCAAGAGTTGCAGAGTCGCAATCAGTAAAGAGTTTACTCACCTTAAAAATGTAATGCTTGATGATAGGGCCTCAATCCGGTCAACTATTACACGAATAAAGGATCTTGGAATCACTTAATTCATTTGGGACATGTATAATATGAATAAAGTGTTGAAGTAACCTATGACTTTAATTTAGGTACTTCAAAGATAAACATAATTGAATTTTGCGTTTATTTATAAGTACTATTCTGCTCTAATTTTGTTATTATATATAATCTCCTCGATTGAAAATAAAGTTGAGAAACGTTCTCAAAAGTTTACAAGATAATCCATAAACCTATATTCCAATTTTGCTAAGATGGTTCTAAAAGGCAAGTTTTAGAAACCCATGTCACATGTCTAAGGTTGGTTTTTATTCAAAATGTTTGAGTAAAATGCCAACACATCTTCATTTTGAAAAGTGTTTCAAAGGTTAGAATGAGATGGGAGGTGCAAATCCTCTAACAGACAAGTTTAGAAGTCAAATAAAATCTCTTGTATTCAATATGATTGAAAATAAGAAAAGTGATTGTGTAGGCGTTGTTGGAAGTGCGACTACGTTATCATGTTGTAA